CTGCCTATTTGTCTATCCTTAGGTCTATCTATCTTTCCATCTATCTGCCTGTCCGCGTCGCCCTCCCTCGCATGAGACGCAGCGCCCCCTGAATGAGCCTCTCTCTCTCCGGCGCTCCCTCGCTGCTCTGCACATGACAAGCTAATCTTAAAGACTGATCATTTAAATGCCACAGGCTTTCGAAATCTAATTTTATATCAAAACGATCTCGGCTGAAAACGTGTGCAAGTGACAACATTCATTACTTCTCAAACTCAATAGGGTTCATGCGGACTTTGCAACGGTCACTTAATTAGATTTTCTTTCTTTTTTTTCGTGTGTGCGTGTGTTTGTCAGGGACCCGGGTATCGGATAGAGAGACTGACCATTTCCGGTGCCTCTGTTTTTCCTCTCTTTTCTGTTTTCTTTTTTTTTCTATTTCTTTTTCTTGTTCTATCACTTGCTTTCTCTTCTCCCTTCACTCTCTCTCTCACTCTTTCTGTTATCTCTTTTTTCCTCTCTCTCTCTCTCTCTCTCTCTCTCTCTCTCTCTCTCTCTCTCTCTCTCTCTCTCTCTCTCTCTCTCTCTCTCTCTCTCTCTCTCTCTCTCTCTCTGTATTATTTACAGGAAGCCCCGCCCGCAATACGTAATGGTAATAAGGATAAGGAGATTCCTTTAGCGAGAAAACGAGCTTATTTCAGACAGCCCATTCTAGCCGCCCATTTCCGGTCTCTCTCTTTACACTGAAATTTTGTCTCCCTCTGATCTCTCTTTCATAATTTCTATCGTTCTCCCAATTCTGCTCCTTTTGTTATATCCTCCGTCAACGCTAAAGACTTTATATTGTCCTGTTCGTCCAAACTCTAAATCCTCTTTTATATATCGCTTTGATATTGTGGTGTTTATTCCACTCTTTGATCTCAGATTATCTCTACCACCATGTCAACATTATCATGTTTTTTTTTGTTGTTGTCGCAGCTGTTGTTGTTTCATGTTACAATAATTATCATTGTTAGTGTCATTATAACTTGACTATCAATTTACCATACACATTCTCGTCATTCTGCGAGAAGAAAGGGACATGGACTAAGGTGAACAAAAAAACAACAAAGAACAAAAATAAACATATGAACCGAACAAGACTCGTAAACACCAATCCCAGCGGTGTGCCGAGCGATTTATCAACAACGACACCAAAATGAGTTTATCATCGTATAAATTCCACGTGACAAGCTGTCATATGACTCCACCCAGACCTCGGGCAATACACCAGATCCTGCAGGTATTCGCTTGTTGTCATTCCCGAAGAGAAAGACTAAAGGGGAGGGAAGGGGGTGGAATACAGAATTCGCATTAACTCGGCGGTTTCTATTCGCAACGTTCGACCCTCAGAACTTATTGATCTTTCGACCGGCGGAGGAGAGTCGGGCCGGAGAAAACAAAAGCAATAATTGAGTGGATCAATTACCTTCGTCCCCCTGGTCTTTGGGAACCATTTCGAACGACAGGTGGCTTGTGAACATTTATAAGGGAAGACCAAAGGTGGGCAGGTGACGCTACACTCACAGATTCCTCTGTTCCTTCGGCTGGGAGAGGTTACATCTCCACTCCGATGGCTGTACGTGATTCGGTGCTCGCGTTCGGCAGCGGCGGTGATTACAGCGGGTTGTGAAAATTGTGCTGAGTTCCGATAGCGTGCATTTCATTTCGTGTTTTGACTTTTTTTTTTAATCTCTTTGATTTCTTTCTTCTCTCTCTCTCTCTCTCTCTCTCTCATCTCTCACTCTCTTCTCTCTCTCACTATTGCTCTCTCTTCCTTCCTCTCTCTCTCTTTCCTCTCTCTCTCTCTCTCTCTACTATCTCTCTCTCTCTCTCTTACTCTCTCTATCTTCTCCTCTCGTTTCTGCTTCTCTAATATCCTTCGCTATAATTCCTCTCCCCTTTTCCCCCTCTCTATCCTCTTCTTTCTCTCTCGCTCTCTCTCTCTCTCTTTCTCTCTATCTTTCTCCCGTCTCTACTCGCACTCCTCTCTCTCTCTCTCTGCTCTCTCTTCTATTCCGCTCTCTCCTCTCCTTCTCTCTCTCTCTCTCTCTCTCTCTCTCTCTCTCCTCTCTCTCTCTCTCTCTCTCTCTTTCTATCTCTCTCTCAGACAGACAGGACAGAGTGAGAGACGGGGGGGGGGGGGGTTGAGGATAAAGAGAGAGAAAGATAGAAATAGATTCTTAGTATCAGATATATCTATATGGTGTGTTTGTGGGTTGCGTATACATATATATATATATATAGCCGATATATATATATATATGGATGCATAAACGTGTATCGGACGTCGCTTTCGCTCGAATGTGATCGGTTATATGTTAAGAAAAGTGAAGTGAATGTGCATATAACATACATATTAATAGTATCATATATATACAATAACTTAAAATAATACATAATATATATATATAATATAATATCAATATATAATGTGTGTGGTGTGTGGTGTGTGTGTGTCGTGTAAAGTCACTGTGCTGTCAGTAGCTGTAGCCACATGAGACAAA